GATTGCCATTAAGACTTTATGTTTTTATTCTACTTTTTTGAGCTGTGAACTGTAAATATTAGTTCATACTGTATGGGTGTGGTTTATACAAGAGGGACAGTTGGAAAATCTGATCATGAATATTTACCCAAAGATAAGCCATTGACTCAACAATCTAAGACTGAAAATAAATGTAAATGTAGAATTGCTAAGTAAAAAGGTGGATATCCAAAAGATAGAATATGCACCTCTGTTTGGTGACTGCCTGTTTTAAGCAACTTGATCAAGCAATCCACTTAATCTAAGACATGCTTCTGTCTCATTGGGTCAGAAGGCTTCATGGTGTTGCCAAGCCCTATGGAAGTTTACCTCTCCAGTTTGACAAGACTTTTACCTTCAATTTTTTTTTTTTTTTTTAATGTTTATTCAGGGGCCTGTGCTGTGGCATACCAGGTTAAGCTGCCACCTACAGTGCAAGCATTCCATGTGGGCCCTGGTTCAAGTGATGGCTGCTCCACTTCTGATCCATGTCCCTGTTAATGCACCTGGGAAAGCAGTAGGGGATGGCGCAAGTGCTTGGGCCCCTGGACCCATGTGCGAGATCTGGCAAAAGCTCCTGGCTCCTGTCTGATCTGGCCCAGTCCTGGCTGTTGCAGTTATTTGGGAAGTGAACCAGCAGATTGAAGACCTCTCTCTGTCTCTCTCTCTCTGTAACTCTTCCTTTCAAATAAAGAAAAAATAAAACAAAAAACAATGAGTAAAAAGTGGAAAGACCAAAGCCTGTGGATTGAAATTATGTTTTTGTGAAAATAAAAAAAAAGGAAGGAATGAGACAAGGAGGGAGGGAAATATGGTTATCTTCTTAGAATTGTGGATATGAAACACAAGAAATTGTTCTTCTTATATTAAAAATAAAATAATTAAAAATGAAACAATACACTTAAAATATTTATTTAGGAGACACAGAGAGAAATCTACTCAGTAGCTCGCTCCCTGAACTCAGTCCAGGTCTCCCATGTTGGCGGCAGGAATCCAGTTACCTGGACCATCACCGCTGCCTTCCGGAGTCTGCATTAGCAGGCAGCTGGAGTCGAGCTGGAGCCGGAGCCAGACCTCAGACTCACGCACCTGCTGTGTGATATGGGTGTATTATCCACTAGACCAGATGCTTGTCCCGACCACAGATTGTTTACTTGGTACTTGCTTATCCTGTTAAGACTTGCTGCCTCATTTGGAGCAGCTTTTTAAGTGATCGCTTAAGTTGATGTCACCAGGCCTGGGTGTATCCCACCTCTCACAGCAGATAAAACAGACCTAAGGAGCAATGAAATTATCTCTCCTAAGAGAAAGCTGAGACATCTAGAAGGCCACGTGGGGCTAGGAATTGCCTAGCATCTGCTATACATCAGTGCTCGGCAAATGTGGGTTGAAATGAATGTCTGTGAATGTCCTGGCTAGGCAGTAACTGCACTCTTAGTTCACTTTTTTCTAAGGAAATATTTCTTTTATAATTTCCTTCCAAGTCTTGCATTGTTGCAGAGACAAATTTTCCATTTTCCTCTTTGTTCCTGTTGTAGTTTCAAACAAACGTGGACCAATTTAAAGTATTCTTCCAACATATGCATTACCTTCATAATTTATGAAGGTAGGTGTTATTGTTGATCTTAGGGTTTTAACAATAAAACAAGCACATGAGTAAGCTACTACTCAGTGATTTCCCAGACTTAGAACAGGTTCAGGGGTCAGTTTTGTTGCGACACTGTCATCCCATTGCAGAGTGCTGGTCCATGTCCCAGCTGCTCCTGATCCAGCTTTCTGTTAGTGAATCTGGGCAAGCAGAGCGGGATGATCAAGTATGTGTACCACCAGTCTGTGCAAAAAGACCTGTTATGGATAGGATTAATATTAATAACTAATTTCCCTTTCTCTTCAAAGGAAACATGTGGTATAATTGGCTTTCTCTTAAGGATATGTTTAAAATAAAGGCAAAGTTGCACAGTATTTTTTTTTCCTTTTTAAAAACAGAACGACTGCAGAGATGGAACTCTTTGGGGGAGGAATTTTAAACTTTGGAAAACTTTGCGTGACCTCACTGTGTTGCTTCTGATGCTTCTTTGCGTAACCCAAGAGTGAACAGAGCCCTCAGGCTGAGACCACCTTGCAGAATAGGAACCCATGAGGCATCTCTGGAAGCTGGAATTTAATTTTGTATCCCCGTATGTTGGTGAATGTTGATCACATTTTGACTTTTGCAGTTGCTAACTCACTCAAGAGAGCCTCTGTTTACATCCCCTCAGCTAAAATCGCCAACCTAGACCTAAATGATTCATGTTCTGCTTCATTTCCTATTTCCAACTGCTTAGAAAATACTGCTCTTGTCGAACTTCAGCCTGTGAGAAATAACCCCGTGAGAAACTGGGAGGCAGATTTTCTGCGCAGGAAGGGAGAACTGTGCGTTCTCTCTTTCCCCAACCATTTTTAGTTCTCAAACTCTCTGGGAAACTGCAGTAGCCAAGTTTCATGTCACAGATGACAAGATTCCCAAATTAGCTCCGGGTCTCCAGAGGGCACCAAAAAGATTTATTAGTAAATACTGTGTTGCTGTTATCAGGCTATCATCTAGCATTCAGCTCTGTGCAGTTTGAAAGCCAATAGGAAGGATTCTTCTCTTTCTGCAGAAGATAAAAGCTAACGTTACCCTTTTGTCCACAAAAAAGAGAGAGAAAGAGGGAAAAGAGGAAATATCTAGGAGAGGGGAATGAAGAATAAAGAGTTTGTTGGCAAAAGTAACTTTGTTGAGAGTCTGAATGAAATCAAGGAGGCTGTATTCATTAGCTTTCCTAAAACTACATTGGCTACTCTAAATGTCCATCCATCCTGTATGGTCTATGGACTATCTCTCTTAAATAGTAGGAATTCTACACCAGGGAGTTTCTGATAAACTCATTGAAGACATCAACATTTTTTCTTCCCAAGTTGATGAAGAGCATCAAACATGTTTTCCAGTAGTTGAACTATGAGTACTTGTATTCAGATCTAATTTACATAGACTTTCAGACGTAAGGGTGTGTTCCAGTGTCTGCTTTTTGGCCCAGTGTGTTAAGATGCTCTTTGGGAGGCCTGCAACACATGCTGGAGTGCTTGGTTCAAGTTGCAGTTACTCTGCTTCTGATCCAACTTCCTGCCAAAGCACCTGGGAGGCAACAGATGGTCACTCAAGTGGTGGAGACCCTGCTGCCCACATAGGAGACCTAGACAGAGTTCCTGGTTCCTGGCTTCTCCCTGGCCCAGGCCTAGTTTTTGCTGTTATTTGGGGAAGTCAACCAAAGGATAGAATTTTTCTCTCTCTCTCTCTCTTTTCTCTCACCACTCTGCCTTTAAAATAAATACATGAATAAACTTTTGAAAAGGATATGTCTCCCTACAAGTAGGTTGAGATATGCCAATAAAAATCATGTAAAAAGTGGAGTATTTCAGGAGATCTCATTGAGGGTAGCACACTATTTTTTTTTTAACTTAACTGAGAGGTGGAGTTACAGACTGTGACAGGGAAAGACATAGAAAAAAGTCTTCCATCTTCTGGTTCACTCCCCAAATGGCCACAATGTCTGGAGCTGAACTTACTTGAAGCCAGAAGCCAGAAGTTTGTCCAGGTCTCCCACGTGGGTGCAGGGGCCCAAGTGTTTGGCCCATCTTCTACTGCTTTCCCAGGGCATAGCAGAGAGCTAGATGGGAAGAGGAGCAGCCGGGACTAGAACAGGCACTCATAGGGGGATGCTGGCGCTGCAGGCAGAGGATTAACCTAATGTGCTTTGGCACTGGCCCCGCACACTATTTTTGACCTAGCAAAATAACATTGCCTGTTACCAGATGGGTTGACAATCTCAGGATATTTTTTCTCCCCAGTAAGTCTAGGACACGAATTCACAATTTATTCACACACATGTTGATCTCAGGTAGCATTCATCTTCTCTAAATAAATGGTGGCAAATGATCAAAACGGCGTGAAGCAGAAGCTGTGCTGCTTCAGGTTTGCTAGTATCAGATAATTATTTCCTGGAAAAGAGAACTTGTGAAAAAGTGGGAAAGGTCAATACAGTACTTTGAGGTAAATGTGGATATCTGTGCATTCTAAGACTCAGAAACTTGAGTAGTATGGTTTTCCTTTCAAAGATTGATTTATTTATTTGAAAGTCGGAGTTAAACAGAGAGCAGGAGAGGCAGAGAGAGAGAGAGAGAGAGAGAGAGAGAGAGAGAGAGAGGTCTTCCATCCTCTGGTTCACTCCCCAATTGGCCGCAACAGCCGGCTTTGCGCCGATCCGAATCCAGGATCCAGGAGCTTCTTCCAGGTCTCCCATGCAGGTGCAGGGGCCCAAGGACTTGGGCCATCCTCCACTGCTTTCCCAGGCCACAGCAGAGAGCTGGATCGGTAGTGGAGCAGCCAGGACTCGAACTGATACCCATATGGGATGTCAGCACTGCAGGCGGCGGCTTTACCCACTATGCCACAGTGCTGGCCCCATGTAATATGTTTTAAGGTGTAATAATGTATTAAAATTTGAGGCTGGCGCCGTGGCTCACTTGGTTAATCCTCCGCCTGTGGCGCCGGCATCCCATCTGGGCACCGGGTTCTAGTCCCGGTTGCTCCTCTTCCAGTCCAGCTCTCTGCTGTGGCCAGGGAAGGCAGTGGAGGATGGCCCAAGTGCTTGGGCCCCTGCACCCGTGTGGGAGACCAGGAGAAGCACCTGGCTCCTGGCTTCGGATCAGCGCAGCTCCGGCTGTGGCGGCCATTTGGGGGGTGAACCAATGGAAGGAAGACCTTTCTCTCTGTCTCTCACTATCTATAACTCTACCTGTCAAATAAAAAAATTAAATTAAATAATAATGTATTAAAATGTAATACTGGCGGGCCCTGGGAGCTCCCCGGAGCGGACGCCGGGCGCAGAGGAGCCGAGCGGCTGGCGGTGGGCGAGGGACCTGGCCAAGCCACGGCGGCCGGGGTGCGGGGCCCTTCATGATGAGAGATTTGGGGGCATTTCTCTCTCCTCCGTGTAGTCAATAGTTTGGGTGGTGAAGAGATGGCCGACACTGTCAAAACCTTTCTCCAGGACCTTGCCAGGGGTATCAAAGACTCCATCTGGGGTATCTGTGCCATCTCAAAGCTAGATGCTCCAATCCAGCAAAAGAGAGAAGAGCAGCATCGAAGAAGGGCAAGCAGTGTCCTGGCACAGAGGAGAGCCCAGAGCATAGAACGGAAGCAAGAGAGTGAGCCACGTGTTGTTAGTAGAATTTTCCAGTGTTGTGCTTGGAATGGCGGAGTGTTCTGGTTCAGTCTCCTCTTGTTTTATCGAGTGTTTATTCCCGTGCTTCAGTCAGTAACAGCCCGCATCATTGGTGATCCATCACTGCATGGAGATGTTTGGTCATGGCTGGAATTCTTCCTCTCATCCGTTTTCAGTGCTTTTTGGGTGCTGCCCCTGTTTGTGCTCAGCCAAGCTGTGAATGCCATCTGGTTTCAGGATATAGCTGCCCTGGCATTTGGGGTATCAGGGAGGAAGACTCACCCCTTCCCTAGTGTGAGCAAAATCATTGCTGACATGCTCTTCAGCCTTTAGCTGCAGGCTCTTTCCCTCATCCAGGAATTGAAACGCACCAGCCGTTGTCGAATATTGAAAGGAACTGGAGCCCGGCGCCGCGGCTCACTAGGCTAATCCTCCACCTAGTGGCGCCGGCACACTGGGTTCAAATCCCTGTCGGGGCTCCGGATTCTGTCCCGGTTGCCCCTCTTCCAGGCCAGCTCTCTGCTGTGGCCCGGGAGTGCAGTGGAGGATGGCCCCAAGTGCTTGGGCCCTGCACCCCATGGGAGACCAAGAGAAGTACCTGGCTCCTGCCATCGGATCAGCGCGGTGCGCCGGCCGCAGCGTGCTGGCCGCGGCGGCCATTGGAGGGTGAACCAACGGCAAAGGAAGACCTTTCTCTCTGTCTCTCTCTCTCACTGTCCACTCTGCCTGTCGTAAGAAAAAAAATAAAACAAAAAAAAAAAAGAAAGAAAGAAAGAAAGAAAGAAAGAAAGAAAGAAAGAAAGGAACTGGCCTTACTCCTTTGGATTTGGTTTACCCTTGGCTTTTCACACAGCAATGCAGTCCTCGTACATTATCAGTGGATGCCTCTTTTCCATCCTATTTCCTTTATTCATTATCAGTGCTAATGAAGCAAAGACCCCTGGAAAAGCATATCTTTTCCAGTTGCGCCTGTTCTCCTTGGTGGTCTTCTTAAGCAACAGACTCTTCCACAAGACAGTCTACCTGCAGTCTGCCTTGGGCAGCTCAGCCTCTGCAGAGAAGTTCCCTTCACCACATGCATCTCCTGCCAAACTGAAGGCTACTGCAGGCCACTGAGTCACCTGCCACCAAAGCGGGTGGGAGGAGGCTGAGGCGAAGGCAGGACCCACTCTGCCAAGGGCCCTCTGCGCATGCCCTTCTCTCTGAGGAGTTGGAGTTTTTGCCTCTGGTGCACGTAAAGCAGAATCTTCTTGACACCAATGTGGGTTTTTAACACCTCCGTGAGTCTCAGAGGACCACAGGGTTTTCTGCAGCTATTTTCTAGCATTTGCCAGCCCCTGTGCCTGGACTGATTGGAATACTTTGTTTTCTCCCTGTGCCATTGGCCCTCACACCTCTCCTTCCTGCCTTCTACCACCCTTGGATGAATGGGTTTTGTAATTCTAACTGTTGTGTTTTGTGGATGTGTTATTTTTGTTCTTCTGTGAAGCACATACATTGGATGTGGGAGGTAATGGAGAATCTTGGTTGCTCCTGGTCACTCCCTTTATAACCTCACTGTCTTGTTTCTTGTAACTCAGGTTAGGTTTTGGCCTCTCTTGCTCCACTGCAAAAAAAAAAAAAAAAAAAAAAAAAAAAAAAAAGTAATGCGCCTGAAGAGAATGGGGACAGGAGGAGGAAAGACCTTACAGCCAGATCTGTTGGGTTTTGAGGAGTGGTTTTTTTCTTCCCCTTGAAGGGGACAAAGCTTTTTTCGCTGCTACATTTAAAGTTCCCAGCTGTGGGGAGATACCAGTTCTGGACAAGTGCCACTACAACACAGGACGCTTAGAGAACCTGAACTTTTCAACTCTGGACGGTGGAAATTTACTGTTAGCTACTGCCGGGTCTGCTGTTTCAGAGGAGTATTGGCTGCTGCAAATAGGAACTGAAGGGGTAAACTTATTAAACCCGTAAAACCTGTGATTGGTTGGTGTTTTCATGTCATTTTAAGAGAAATATGTGTGTGTGTGGGAATGGGGCAGATGTCAAAACACTTGTACAATTAAAAAAGCCATGGCTCACTAGGCTAATCCTCCGCCTTGCGGCGCCGGCACACCAGGTTCTAGTCCCGGTCGGCGCGCCGGATTCTGTCCTGGTTGCCCCTCTTCCAGGCCAGCTCTCTGCTGTGGCCCGGGAGTGCAGTGGAGGATGGCCCAAGTGCTTGGGCCCTGCACCCACATGGGAGACCAGGAGAAGCACCTGGCTCCTGCCATCGGATCAGCGCAGTGCACCGGCCACAGCGGCCATTGGAGGGTGAACCAATGGCAAAGGAAGACCTTTCTCTCTGTCTCTCTCTCTCTCTCACTGTCCACTCTGCCTGTCAAAAAAAAAAAAAAATGTGAGCTGGTTTCCCACACACACAAAAAATTTAATACTGGCTCTAATTGCCCTAAAGGATCCATTAGAATTCCCTGTTCAGCCAAAATACTGGAAAGATCACGAGGAAGATTTTGCTTGCTTCTGAAACGTCGAGTTTATTCGTGCCACTTCAAACTGGAAGTGAAAATAATAAATAGAGGTATTAGAATCAAATTTTCCTAACCTGGGGCTCAGTTATCATCTAGCTGTAAATGAACTGATTTGCTGTTTAACACTTTCTGGGTCACTAGAGTTCTGGTAGCAAGTTCTCCACTGAGCAGTGTCAGCAGTGTAATTGTGGTCTAACATAATACTTGCACTGTCTTTGAAGTCTGGGCACTTTGGTACAAGTTCTGTCCCTGCATTTCTTCAAACACCTCTTCTTTGACTAAGAAAGAAAAATGAAGGGGGCAGCATTGTGGTGTGGCAGTGTAAGTCTGTGATGCCAGCATTCCATATGGGTGCTGGTTCTAGTCCTGGCTGCTCCACTTAGGATCCAACTCCCTGTTAGTGTGCCTGGGAAAGCATCAGAAGATGGCTCAAATGCTTGGTGCCTGCAGCCACATGGAAAATTTGAATTAACCTCCTGGTCCCTGGCTTTGGCCTGGCCTAGTTCTGGCTGTTGCAGCCATGAAAAAATGAGACCTTGTGAAAAAAAAGTGGGAAGATTGGGGTTTGTGTTATTTAATTTTCCTGTGTGTTGTTTTCTATAACTTCATATTATAAGTATTAGTACAGTTTGTATTATATGATGGTTAAGACTTACACAGACTAATGATTCTAAAACACCTTAGTTATAATTAGTACTTTTTAGTAATCTAGGTATTTTAGTTTATGTTTAATTATGAGTATTTATTAATATTCAGATGTTGAGTTCCTTCTTCATAGCCAGCACTGGTTTTGTGAAACCAGTGTTTTTTACTAGTATATTCATAGTATCTGATCTTGTAAATTATAATTAATAAATAATGTATAATTTGCATACAAAGACTAATAAATAATTCTGCATGCTAGAATTTCAAATGCAGGCAGATCTTTCTGGGGAATTCATCTAGTGCTATTGAAGCAAAGTTAATATTTATCTTAGCTAGAGTAACAGAGTGTTGACTTGACTAAATGGTTCTCTTATGAAAAAATCATTACTAGTCAAGAGAAATTCATGGATCTAGAATTGCCAGTCATTGTGTTCTACTTAGAAACAGCTATATAGCATTTATTAATAAATGAACATGTTTGTTAGTTATCTTCCTCTAATTCCTTCAGTGAAAACATAAAACCTTGGGTTTTTCTCCAAAAATACAATTAAAAAATTAACATTTATTTACTTCTGTGGATTCTCATTTCCTTTTTATGACAGATGAGAGTTCCTAATTTGTTGTTGGTTAGGATCTAACGCATAGACTGATAATAAAAAGGAAGTTCCAATTCTATTGAACACACACTATCTGTTTTGTGTCTCCAGAGGTGAGGCTATCCATTCCTATCTTGTTTAGAGAATGTTTCAAATAATATGCAGTCAAGGTGGAGGAGCCTCAGCATGGAGTCAACACCATTGTAGACACCCGCGTGTTCTTATCACGGTGGCTACCTTAACTGTGTCTCATAACCACTGCCAGTGTAAGTGAAAGTGCTTTTCTCTCTGTATTTCTTCCCTTTTTCCTGCTTTCAGTATTCCTTCTCCGTTCTTCTGTGCTTTAATCTTTTCCCACTTTTTCTTTCTTCACTCCTCCTTCTCCCCTCGTTTCTTTTATCCGATGAGATGATGGCTTTTGTCATTTAAAGGCTGACGTACTATTTTATTGCACCAGTATGCTTTGGAATCTGTAATCACAATTTTCCGATACTTTCTCGTATAGATGTGTAAGAGAAAACTAAACATGCCCTCATGACTCATACAGAGGGGATTTCAGAGAGAGCCTTGCCATGGACTGATTTTATTTTTGTTCTTTAAAAATTTGTGTTTTTCTTTCTACACGGTTTAGTTTCTGACTAAAGAGTCTTGGAATACATTCACTGAAGATGTCATGTAAAGACCTGGTTTTTGCTCCATAGAACAGTGAATGCCATGTTGGACTCAACTCTGTCACTGCGAAATATGGAACAATTCTTTTAGTTTGAGATCTTACTTCAGAAGCCTGATTACTAACATTGATGATGTACTGCAGCATAATTATGTAAAAATTGGGTTAATCTTATGTGGACCAGAATTTAACCCTTGCAACAAAAGGCTGACATGAATTATATGTAAGTTTCCTGTGTATCAGACTAAATACATTTTGCTAGTATGGAAATAAAGTAAATTAGATTTTGAGTCAATATATCTGAAAGTTAAATGACCCCAACCACAAGATAGCCACATATATTGATCCAATTACTAACGAAATGAACCAGTTGGTTAGTTTGATATCTAACAGTGACCACACAATGTGTTTCCACAGGAAAGACATTAAAGTAATTGGAAACCTGTAGAAATTTTGGATGGTCAAAGGGGAGTGGAGGTCAACGGAGTTCTGATAAGAGCTGGAAACTGCATACTGCATAGAATTCACTGCCTGTGTTTCCAGCTGCCCGTAGAACTGAAGAGGGAGAATGCTGTGACGGTGGTGCAATTGTTTGCTTGCATTTATTCAGGCCACTGGTTTTTCCAGAGAGTGATGATGTCAGCCTCTCTCGAGTTTTCCAAACCTACTGCTGGTGCTCCTCACTGAGAGACTGTAAGCTGAGACTCTGCTTGTAAGAGATTCTGTTAGTGGAGTCTCCCGTGATGTGTGGGTGAGAATTTGGAGACAGTGGAGCACACTGTTGATCTGACACTAGATGATCTCATGGGAATAATCTACAAGTTACTGAGGTGACATATCTAAGTTTGGAGGCCATAGGCTTTCCTCATAGTTTGTCTCAGTACCATTATCTACTAAATCTATGGGATTTACTGAACCGCATAGGCATCAGTCCCACTTCATTTTGGTTGGATGA